GGTTTATTTCATGATAGCTACCAACTTCCAATACAAAATATCACTCAAATGACCCAATGCACCATCACTGAAGTGGGCATAATCATTTTCCAAAATGTTTATTTTTAGGCCATTTATCCCCTCCCCCTGTGTCTGTGTGAAACCTGTGCTTGTCAGTGTCTGTGTGGTATACCTAATAGTGTGTGTGCAGTATGTGCACTCTTCTGTACAGGACAGTGTGCATGTCTGTTCACAGTATACATTATTTCTTGCATAGTGCGTGCGTGTGTGTGCGCCCGCACGCGCGGGGGGTTGAGGGGCCAAGACCATGTCAGGCCCAGGGGGCCAAAATTTCTTAATCCGCCCCTGCCCATGCATCCTGGATCTTTCGGCGCCCTGGGCCAACATCACGCAGATACACTCTTTGCCCAACTTCCAGTGGCTCGCAGGTGACCTTTTCATCATGTCTCACTTTTCTCCTGTGGGCTGCCAACTCCACTCTGCCTTTAACAACGTCACCCCAGACACCAAGATGATGGGAAACAAGAATACCCACTCCTGCTCGGCACCTCTCACCAGAGGCAACTCCAGAGTGGAAGAATGTCCAGCCACCTCTCAAGGAGACTGGCTCCAGAGCCATATGTTGAGGTAAGTCCAACTATCTCTAGTTGGAAACTTTCAACTTTGCGCACTAACTCATGCTCCTTCCTGAGCTGATCTGAAGTGCCTTCAGATCAGCTGTTGTCTGGCTGTTATTTCCAATAAGATACAACGCAGAATAGACTACGCTATATAAGCAACTGAACTGATAGCATCAATGGGAATGCAAAGGATTTAGTCATCACTGGACAGAGACACAGCAGACAAATCAGGCAGATCTGAATGAGAAGTCCCAGAGTCTAACCAATTACAGTGAACTCAAGTTAGCCTGGTGTGCAGGTCATTGAGTTTATATTTCACGAACTGATGTAGTATGATTCATTTTGTCAACCTATTCTCTGTGGTCCCCTCTGCCTTTAAAACAAATGCATATTTTGAACGTAAAGTATTTGTCAGGTTTCAGGTTGGGTTAATTATGTTTTTCTTATCGATCTGATTGTTGCCTAATAGTTTTTCACAAACTGCTTGCACTACCTGCTCTGATAAACATTTCATACTCTATTCTCTGTAGTTCATTAAAATTTTGAATAGACCTCTCTTTATTTATAAATGTTTAACTTGGAAAGACACAATGTCAAACATCGGTTATAAAATTCTTCTAAAGGTCTGCAGCAGCTGATTTATGACTGATTTCTGACCAAAACTTAATTTTTTTTACTGTTTAATTCTATGGCTCCAATTCACAACAAATGTCATCTCAAGGCGCTTTCCAGTTCACCAGATCATCCAGTCAGATTTAATCAAAGTTTTCTAAGGAAAACCAGCTGATTGCATCAACTCATTGCCTCTTCAGCAATCCCTCACACTAAGCATGCTTGTAGCGACAGTGGAGAGGAAAAGCTCCCTTTGAACAGGAAGGAACCTCCAGCAGAACCAGGCTCAGTGTGAGCGGCCATCTGCCGAGGCCGACTGGGGTATAAAGCTACTATGAGAAAAAGCAGAGAGAGCATAATGTTAGAGATTGAACTAACAGATTCTGCAGAGTGGGAGAATAGAGACAGAATGAAGCAGAATGATGAAAAAGGGGTCCCTATGTCCTCCAGCAGTCTAAGCCTATAGCAGCATAACTATAGAGATAGCTCAGGATANACCTGAGCCACTCTAACTATAAGCTTTATCAAAAAGGAAAGTTTTAAGCCTAGCCTTAAAAGTAGACAGGGTGTCTGGCTCACAGACTAAAACTGGTAGTTGGTTCCACAGGAGAGGAGCCTGATAACTAAAAGATCTGCCTCACATTCTACTTTTAGAATTTCTAGGAACCACTAGTAAATCTGCAGATTGAGAGTGAAGTGCTCTGTTAGGAACATAAGGAACAATCAGATGGATATCAGATGGAGCTTGGCCATTTAAGGCTTTATATGTAAAGCTTTTCTGATGTTTTTAGAGCCCTGTCATCCAGGTCAAAACCTGTTTAATTCAGTTTTATTAAGTTGGGTGAACCTTTAGAATTCCCCAGGAAACTCATCAGTTCCTGGACTCTTATTACTCAAGTATTTGAAGTCTCATGTGTGCTGAGATGGCAGTGTTGATAGGTTTAACTTTCATATTTAAAGAATTGTTGTTTTCATAATTATGTAACATTTTATTGTAGTATGCAAATGCTTCCGCAATATCTATTGGTTTAATCTCCATTTCCTTAGAAAAAACTTATTTTTGCTTCTAACCGTTCTGTTTCTTTTTTATATAAAAAGTCGATGACTTAGAGATGCTTTATAACTTTTTTCATAGTACATTTCATTTATAGGTCATCATATTATGCTTTAAATGTTAGCTGTTGATCCGGCTTATATCTTTTATTTCTCACCTAACAGATTATGAATAGCTTTTGAATGTTTCATGTATTTTTATTTAATTCTCCAACAGTTTCTTTTGAAATTCTCTCTCCTGTTACTGCTTTACAACACTCCTTTATTAAACTGACTTCTTCATTGTCAATGTTTTCAACGTATTAGATATCAGAAATAACACTTATAATAATAATAATAATTGAAAGAGGGGGGGGTGTGTATCAATGCTATAGTAAAATGAATAGCGTTATTGTAATTGGTCTAATATCCTTTCTCATCACTTTATAGGCATCCTGCTAAGAATCAAACAGAAAATCTATTCTTGAATAACTATTGCAGGGATCGGAGCAAGATGTAACTTATTT